ATCATGACCACCAAATTAATCCACGTTCCTTATTTCCCCATCCAGAAAATGAGTCGCCTCTACCCCCAGGGATGCCAAAACCACCATCCCTCATGCCATCTCGGCCACCAAAATCATCCCTCATTCCCCCACGACCTCCAAAATTCCAATGCCCGTCACTACCATTCATTAGGAGCATTGAAGCGACCCATACCACCCCGGTCCCTACCAAAGCCAGGCCCGCCATGCAATGCCGTCTCGCGAAGCTTCCCTCCAGAACTTTGATTAAATCAGGGACACGTTCGCAATCTTGCTTGGAGAGAAACGTATAAGCCACACCAGTTGCATCAACTCTCCCAATTCTTCCAATTCGGTGGACATGGTCCCCAATCCCAATAGGGAAATCAAAATTGATCACACACCCTATCACGTTAGAAATCTCAAAAGAATGCCTTTTTAGAGATTCAAACATGTTTAAAAAAAAAAAAAAAAACCATAAACAATGTGGTTTGGTGGTGATTCAATTATTAATCTCTGTTATATACAAAAAAAAAATTATGTATAAAAAAAGAGAGCATATACAAGAACCAACCATAAATCTCTTATGTCAAGCCAATTAAAAAAGTTCAAGACTTAAACCAAATAAAAATAATTCGAAAGTCTATTCCTATTGGCTATTGGTATATCTATTGGGCAACCGGCTATAATAGTTTGGTTTGTTATTTAAGCCGTAAACTTTGACCATTTGTTTAGTTTGACCTTACAATAATTTTTTGTTACACTTAAATAGTTTACTAGATTACTACTACTACAATGGCATTCTATGGCATTGGAGGAATACTAATACCAAACCCTGGCCAATGTGACCATGTAATCAATATCACCGACGTTGTCAAGTAATTGGGTTAATTAATCTTCAGCAAAAGAATAAACAGAAACTAAGACCAAGAATACCCAAAAATTTTCCTAGCTACAAATACAACCATATGTATATAGTGTATATAATATATATATATATATATATATGGCATCAAATGAATGCAACCGACTGCTTAAGGAACGATTTGATTTTGATTTCATTTAAGATTATTTTTCATGCATGATAACATGAAAAA